TCCACTGTACTCCAAGCCTGGCTAGCACAAATGCAGACGGCCTTGTCTCCAAAAAAAAAACAAAAACCCAACAAAGCCGTCAAATTAATGAAAATCCTTGTATTTTCTTTTTTCTTTTCTTTTCTTTTTTTTTTTTAGAGGGAGTTCTTGCTCTGCTTGCTACATTGCGAAGTGGCAGTGCGTGGACTCCAGCTCACTACACAAGCTCGACCTCCCCTGGGGTTCACTACCATTCTGCGCTGGCGGCCTCGCCTCCCCGTAGCCTGGTAGCTGCCAGTGCTTGCTGGCCTACATCCGGTTTCTACAGCTTGTGCAGTTTTTGGTCATGTGGTTAGTAGTATGATCGTGGGTTTCCCCGTGTTTAGGTTGTCGGGCAGATAATGCTGGCATCTCGCTGACATCTATGATGTCTCGACGCCTGCTTTCTCTTTCCTTCTTCTTGCCAATTAGTGGTGTTGAATTGATCGTGCGTGACCCACCGTGGCCGCAGCATAAAATCCTGTATGAATCTTCAGGCGGCTACTATGGTATGATACTCTTTTTATGCTATGATAATCTTACCAAGCTTGGCTTTTTTGGTTGTTTTTGAAGACAGTTTTCCTTCCTGTTGCCCCAGGCTAGAGTGCAATGCCACCATCATTGGCTCACTGCAACCCTCCCCTCCCCAAGTCAAGTGATTCTCTTGCCTCCAGCCTCTCTCAGTATCTGGATTGACAGGCCCCGCCACCGACCCCTGGCTTAATTTTTTTTTTCTAGATTGGGGGTTTCATCATGTTGGCCAGCTGGTCTTGAGGATAATTTTTTGTATTTCTAGTAGAGAGAGGGTTTCACCCTGTTAGCCAGGATGGTCTCCATCTCCTGACCTCGTGATCCACCCGCCTCGGCCTCCCAAAACTCTGGGATTACAGGCGTGAGCGACCATGCCCGGCCTCAACTATTCTTGCTTGTTGAAATATTTCTCCAATGGGGTCAATTTTTAGGTTATTGGTGCATTGTATTTTCTGACTGAGTCATCATGGTGCATCACCACAAATGGGTTATTTTTAATTGGTTTGTATTTATTTGTTTGCTCACTTATTTAGAGACAGAGTTTTGCTCTGTTGCCAAGGCTGGAGTGCAGTGGCACGGTCTCGGTTCACTGCAACCTCCGCCTCCTGGGTTCAAGCGATTACCATGCCTCAGCCTCCTAAGGAGCTGGGATCACAGGCACATGCCACCATGCCCAGCTAATTTTTGTATTTTTAGTAGAGATGGGGTTTCACCATGTTGGCCAGACTGGTCTTGAACTTCTGTCCTCAGGTGATCCACCTGCCTCAGCCTCCCAAAGTGCTGGAATTACAGGCATGAGCCACTGCATCCGGCCTTAATTGGTTTTTAAACTCCTACAAATGCAGACGATGTTCCATGGAAAAAAGTTCACAATACAGAAGTGAATACAGAAAATACGAGTCCTCTGCTGCTATGAGTTTCATGTGTACCCTTCCAAATGTTTTGTCTCTGCACACACACACACACACACACACATAAAATTTTAACCCAAGTACGAGTCACATTGCACGTTCTTCTCAGCAACTTGCTTTTATCCATAAATAAAACACTGAGATGTCTTTACTTCTTGGGATATCTACTTCATTCCTTTAAGCAGTTCCAAAATAGTCCACTGCATGGCTGTACCAGGGGTCGTTTAGCTGTGTTCTCATAGACATTTGTTTCCAGTTTTTTTTTTTTTCTTTGAGACAGAGTCTTGCTCTGTCACCCCAGGCTGGAGTACAATGGCACAATCTTGGCTCACTGCAACCTCTGCCTCCTGGATTCAAGTGATTCTCACTGCCTCAACCTCCTGAGTAGCTGGAACTACAGGCACCCGCCACCACACCCGGCTAATTTTTGTATTTTTAGTAGAGACAGGGTTTTGCCATGTTGGCCAGGCTAGTCTTGAACTCCTGACCTCAAGTGATCCGCTTGCCTCAGCCTCTTCAAGTGCCGGGATTACAGGTGTGAGCCACCACGCCCGTCCAGACATGTTAAATTTGAGATCAGCGGCTACCCAAGTGGAGATCAGGAACCTGGAGTGCTGGTGACTTAGTATTGGGAGTCATGCGATATAAGTGGCGTTTAAAATTAGGAGCCTAGGCAAGATTACCCCGGGCCTGAGTGTAGTTGGGGGCCCAAGGTACTGTTCTGACCCAAGGCAAGAGTCTGGCAGAAGAGAAGGAAGGGATCAGGCAGGGTTTTGGACCTCTAGGCTTGATGGCCACCTGCTGCTGGGCCTCCAAGGGGCCTGGAGGCGGTGCGGACGGAATATGCAGAGAGAATGAGAAGTGAGCGAGTAGAACGAGGGTGGTACATGGCTTTGAAGGAGTCGGCCAGGGAGGCGGGAAAGGATGGGGTGGAGGCTCATGAGACTTGAAGCTCTAGGAGGACATTGAAAAAGACCTGAGCGCTGGCCGGGCGCGGAGGCTCAGGCCTGTAATCCCAGCACTTTGGGAGGCCAAGGCGGGAGGACTGCTTGAGCTCAAGAGCTCCAGACCAGCCTGGGCAAAATAGTAAGAGCTTGTCTCAACAAAAAATTAACATATTAGCCGGGTGTGGTGGCGCGTGCCCGTAGCCACTCGGGAGGCTGAGGTGGGAGAATCGCTTGAGCCTGGGAGGTCGAGGCTGTAGTGAGCTGTGATTGCGCCACTGCACTCCAACCTGGGCGACAGAGCGAGATCCTGTCTCGAAAATAAAATAAGACCTGAGAACCCAGTATGGGAATGGCCCTGAGCCGTGGCTGAGGGGGGTAGACGAGGCGGTCGGGAGAGACCCTTCGAGAAGATGGGGCTTCGAGGCTGAGGGAGCTCTGCCCCGAGAAGGCGCCAGCGAGACACAACACACCTAGCTAGGACCCCGTACTGGGCAGGCGATCCTTCCGAGCATGCGCACCTGGCGCTAGCGAACCACAATTCCCAGCACGCCAAGCGCCTGTTTCCGGGGCGAGCCGCGGAACCCGGAAGTGGTCACGAAACTCGGCCGTGGCTCCATGGTCTGAGTGGTCAGCGGTTGCTTTTTCGTGCTAGGTAGTTGCCGCCGCCGCCGCGCCGCCATGGGGAAGCGACAGCACCAGAAGGACAAGATGTAAGTTGAGCCGCAGTCGGGAGTGGCGCTCCGCTCTGCCTCAGTAAACCGCCTGTCCCGCCCTGCTCGCCGCTCGCCTTCCCTCTCAGCTGGTCCCCAGAGCCCAGCCCAAAGGTCACTTCCTCCCGGAAGCTGCCGCCGTCTCTCCAGTCAGGGTAATGACCCTCCGGCCGCCGCGCTCTCCCAGGGGGCCGCGGCTCCGAAGACGTCAGCTGCGGGCTCGAGCGCAGCCGGGTCTTCCTTTACTCTAGTTCTGCCCGGACCGTCCCCCGTCTGCTCGCGAGCTTTGCCCCTGTAGTCTCTCCCTCTTCCGTACTTCGCGTCTGGCTGTGTTCTGGTTCATGCCTATCAGCCTGCACACGTGCTGCAGAGCCTTCCTATTTAAAGCAAACCAAGCCGGGCGCGGTGGCTCACCTGTAATCCCAGCACTTTGGGAGGCTGAGGCGGGCGGATCACCTGAGGTCAGGAGTTCAAGACCAGCCTGGCCAACATGGTGAAATCCCGTCTCTACCCGAAGCACAAAAATTAGCGGGGCGTGGTGGCGGGCGCCTGTAATCCTAGCTACTCGGGAGGCTGAGGCAGGAGAATCGCTTGAACCCGGGAGGCGGAGATTGCCGTGAGCCGAGATCGTGTCACTGCACTCCAGCCTGGGCGACAGAGCCAGACTCTGTCTCAAAAATAATAAATAAAATAAAACAAAAAAATCCGCCTATGCCCCGTGCCCCGCGTTCCCCTCCTGCTGCCGCCATGATTTCAGAACAAGTTAGAGACCCGTGGCTTCATGCTGTTTTCTGAGTCTCTTGAAACCACTCAAGTCAGAATTTCGATCCCAGAACTGCCCCTTGTCAGGTTCCCAGCGACTTCTTGTTGCTAACTCTAGTATTCAATCCTCAGTCCTCGTGTTTTTTTTGAGACGGAGTTTCGCTCTTGTTGCCCATGCTGGGGAGTGCAGTGGTGCGATCTCGGCTTTCCGCAACCCCCGCTTCCCAGGTTCAAGCGATTCTCCTGCTTCAGCCTCCCGAGTAGCTGGGATTACAGGCATGTGCCCCCAGGCCCGGCTAATTTTGTATTTTTAGTAGAGAAGGGGGTTTCTCCATGTTGGTCAGGCTGGTCTCGAACTCCGATCTCAGGTGATCCGCCCGCCTTGGCCTCCCAAAGTACTGGGATTATAGGCGAGCCACCGCGCCAGGGCAGCCTCAGTCCTCATTAACCGCTCCCTCCTTCTGAAGCCCTCCTTTGGTATCTGAGATTTCCTGTGCTCTTTGTTTTCCATCCACTTCTGCGGCCTCTCTTTTCCCAGCCTCCTTTCTGGACCCTCCTCCCTTTCCTCAGATCTCATAGGTTTCTTTTCCATAAACATTCTCTGTGAGTGATATAATTTCCCAGTCATCTATAAGCTGCTTTCCCCAGTCTTGTGTAGTTAGTGGCTTACTTGATATCTCCACTGGAGGACTGATAAACATCTCAATTTTTTTTTTTTTGAGATGGAGTCTTGCTGTGTTGCCCAGGCTGGAGTGCAATGGTGCGATCTTGGCTCACTGCAACCTCTACTTCCCAGATTCAAGCGATTCTCCCACCTCTGCCTCCCCAGTAGCTGAGATTACAGGCGCCTGCCACCATGCCCGGCTAATTTTTGTATTTTTAGTAGAGACAGGTTTTCACCATGTTGGCCAGGCTGGTATCGAACTCCTGACCTCGGGTGATCCACCCGCCTCTGCCTCCCAAAGTGCTGGGATTACAGGCGTGAGCCACCGTGCCCTCAAATTTAATATGCCTTAAACAGAACTCTTGATTTTCAGCTCCTGAGCCTGCTCCTCCCTGTAAGCTAAAAATAAAATCCTAAGTCCCCTTACTGGCTGAGCAGACACCCTTGTGGCTAAGAGAACTTCAGGAAAACCTTAAAACTGAGTTCCTGGCCATGATGCGATGGAGGTCAGCTGTACCTTGTTATGTCTTCCTCCCTTTTGTGGCCTAGACACAACAACTGACCGGCATTAACGTTGAAATAGAGATCATAAGGGGCCCGGCGTGGTGGCTCGCACCTGTAATCCCAGCACTTTGGGAGGCTGAGGTGGTGGATCATGAGGTCAGGAGATCGAGACCATCCTGGTTAACATGGTGAAACCCCATCTCTACTAAAAATACAAAAAAAAAGAATTAGCCGGGCGTGGTGGCTAATTTTTAATAAAAATAAAGAAATAGAAATAAGATTGACGAAACAGACTCTTTGTGGCAATAAGATACCAAATTATAAATAGAACCTACAGTCATGCCAGAACAACTTCCCTGGTTAAGTTACCCACCCCTACGCCTAAAGAATAAACTATATCCTAACTGCCACAGGGTTTTTTTATTTCTCTAGCAGCTAAACAAGCACTGGCGTTCAGATAAGCAATTTTTTTTTTTTTTTGAGATGGAGTCTCGTTCTGTTGCCCAGACTGGAGTGCAGTGGTGCGATCTCGGCTCAGTGCAAGCTCTGCCTCCCGGGGTTCCGCCATCTCCTGGCCTCAGTCCTCCCGATGTAGCTGGGAGTACAGGGTGCCCACCGCCACACCTAGCCTAATTTTTTGTAATTTTTAATAGGAGAGGGGTTTCACCGTGTTATCCAGGATGGTCACGATCTCCTGACCTCATGGATCCACCGCAGCCTCGCCTCCCAAAGTGCTGGGATTACAGGTTGTGAACCACGGCGCCCAGCCTGGGTTTGTTTTTTTTTTTTTTTTTTTTGAGACAAGTCTTACTCTGTCGCCCAGGCTGGAGTATAGTGGTGCGATCTCGGTTCACTGCAACCTCTGCCTCCCAGGTTCAAGCAGTTCTCTGCCTCAGCCTCCTGAGTAGCTGGGATTACAAGCACCCACCATCACGCCCAGCGAATTTTTGTAATTTTAGTAGAGACGCGGTTTCACCTTGTTGGCCAGGCTTGTCCCAAACTCCTGACCTCTAGTGATTCACCCACCTCGGGCTCCCAAAGTGTTGGGATTACAGGCATTAACCACCATGCCCGTCCCATGCTTATAGGTGTTTAATAAGCATATGCGGAATAAGCAAAGATTACTCACTTCCAAAGACTTTGTTCTCTGTATAAAGGTGGTGGTCATAGCATTATCTTCCTCTCTTCTTCAGGTACATTACTTGTGCTGAATATACTCACTTTTATGGTGGCAAGAAGCCAGGTAAGGCTTGCGGTCTTTCTGTTCCCCGTTGGGGGAGTGGTATTAAGGAACAGTGTCTTCAGGATACAGTGAGCTGTAAAAATAGACAACAAGAACACGGAAACTGTGGTAGACAAATGGGCCGAGGACAGTTCACGAAAGAGAAATACACTCAAGAAAGAAGAACATGCTTCTTCTTAGTGGTGGTTTTTGTAAAATGTAGATTAAAATATTCCCCGATGCTGGGAGCTAAGTAAAAAATAAGTAAATAAAATACAAAATTACATGTACATTTAAATGTTTTTTCTCTATTAAGTTTATAAAGAGTCCGGGCGCGGTGGCTTAAGCCTGTAATCCCAGCACTTTGGGAGGCCGAGATGGGCGGATCACAAGGTCACGAGATCGAGACCATCCTGGCTAACACGGTGAAACCCCGTCT